GCCGCTCCCCTGACCGCCCTTCCTCCCTTCCTGCCCGGCTGGCGGAGGCTCCCGCCCTGGCCCGGCCTGGCGGCTTCGCTTCTGGTTTCATTTCCCGAGGCCCGGCCTCCCTCTTTCCTACCCCGCACTCCGCGCCTTTGAATCCCTGGCTCCTTCTCCACTTTTTGGTCTCAGCTCGGGTGTCACCGCCAAGGAGAGGCTCCCCGAGACCGCCCTACAGCTCCTCTCCGCGCGCCCATCGTGCTGTCTTACTTTTCAAGTCGCTGAACAGAAGCACAAATTGACATTTTTATTCCCTCGTCTTCCGGCAGCTGCTTCTCTCGCTTGAAGTGAGAAAGTCCATAGAATGGTCTAGAAGGCCTGAGACCGTCTCTAGTTTCCTCTCCAGCAGCTCCCAGCTGGTCTCTCCGGCCTGGCCGCAGGGCAGGTGACACCTCCCGGCTCCCGACACTCTTCCTCGACACTCTTCCTCGGGCTTTGCTACGTCTCTCCATTCATCAGGCCTCTGCTCAAACGTCACGTCTTCAGAGAACCCTTCCCCTCCCCCACTACACATCTTTTTATTACTCCCCTCCCACTCTCCTTTATTCTTGTTCTTTGTTCAGCTCCTAAAATACTATGTAATTTCCTGAAATTTATTGTCTATTTCCTCCCAGCAAGGCTTTTTTTTTTTTTTTTTTTTTAAAGACAGGGTTTTAAACCGGGCGTGGTGGCACACACCTATAATCCCATAACTTGGGGAGGCTGAGGCAGGAGGATCATTGCGAGTTCGAGGCCAGCCTGGGCTACAAAATGAGCTCAAGGCCAGCCTGAACTGCGTAGGGAGACCCCGTCTCACAAAGGCAAAAAAAAAAGGTTTCGCTATGTAGCTTAGGCTGGCCTCGAACTCGAAGTGATCCTCCTACCTCAGCTTTCCAAGTGCTGGGATTACAGGCATGCGCTACTATGCCTGCCAAAGGGTTTTGATCTATAGTATCACTACCATATCTGCAGTGCCACAAAAGAGTATCTGGGTTGTGAGGGCGATCTCTGGCTGCAACATCTGTGACCTCCCTGACCACCAGGATTGGTTGGCTGAGTTGGCTGGCTGGGCGGTGTCCCCTTCCTCCCCTTCCTCCTTCAACGCTCCAGGTGCTCCGTGGAAGAGGAGGACAGCCCCCGATAGAGAAGGACTCTTTTTCTTGGTCAAGGGTATAGCTGTGCTCCCCTGCTAGAACCTACAAACAAGCTCCCAAAAGAGTATCTGGTGTACACGAAAGGGGTTCTGTGTAAATGTGTGCAGGTCAGTGCATACATTAGTTCTATTTCTTTTCTCTCCACCCCTTCCCCAGATATGCGAGAGGAGAGACTGTGTGAGGTCTGTCCAGTGCCCCTACAATCCACAACAGCACCCACCCATAGTGGATACTCAATAAGTGTTAATCAAGGGACTTCCAGGAGCCACTTGGCCACTCTGAGATCATGTGGATTTGTCTAGTGGGACTGTAGTTCAAATTAGCATTCCCCGCCCCTCACTGAATCCAGGGCCTTCACACTGACCTACATATTCAGCCCATTATTAATTTTTTAAAGCTGCCCAGCTGGGCTCCAACTTTCAATCCTCCTGCCTCAGCTTTGAAATTTTCTCTGTTCATCTGTCTGTCTCTCTTTCCAGTGCCGCTGGATCCTATGCATGCTAAGCAAGTGCTTTACCACTGAAGCTACATCCCTAATCAAGACATCTCTTAAATCCAATATGGTAGCACACACTTGCAACCCCAACACTCTGGGAGGCTGAAACAGGAGGATCACAAGTTCAGTCCCAGCCTGGGCAATTTAATGACTTAGTGAGACTCTGTTTCAAAAACTAAAAAAAAGGATTAGGGTGTAGCCCAGTATCAAGGTCCTGGGTTTGATCCTCAGCACAATGAATAAATAACCTACATACCTAACACTATTTTACATATCAGAGAATTATTTTATTTTATTTTTTTGGAACAGGGAATCAAACTCAGCACCTTGTGCTTGCCAGGCAGGCACTTATACCACTGAGCTATATCCCCAGCAGACAGGAATACCTGTTTTTTTTCTTTGTACTGAGAATTGCACTCAGGACCTTGCAATTGCTAGGCAGATGCTAGGCAGGCTGAGCTACATCCCCAGCCCAACAACATATCAGTGAATTAATGTCATCTTTTAAAAAAAAAAAAAATATGGAACACTTCACAAATTTGCATGCCATCCCTGTGCAGGGGCCATGCTAATCTTCTCTGTATTGATCCAATTTTAGTATATGTGCTGCCAAAGTGAGCACTAATGTCATCTTTAACCATTTAAACCCAATGCATATTCAAATTTCTCCTAGAATATCAATTGACTCAGTAGTATCTATTGCTGGCCTCAAACTACTGAGCTCACATCATCTTTCCACTTCACCCTCCTGAGTAGCTGGGACTACAGATATGTCCCACTGCACTCAGCAGAAATTTTTCTTTGTCTTCTTGGTTTTTGTTTGTTTCTGTCTTTTTTTTTCTTCTGGTACCAGGAATCGAACTCACAACCTTGCGCTTGCCAAGCAGGTGCTTTGCCGCTGAACTAAATCCCCAGACCCTGTTTCTGTTTTTTTGAGACAGAGTTTTACTATGCAGTTTAGGCTGGCCTTGAGCTCACTTTGTAGCCCAGACTGGTCTCAAACTCACAAGGATCCTCCTGCCTCAGCCTCCCCAGTGTGGGGATTACAGGCGTGGGCTACCACACCCAGCTCTGCTCTATTTTCTATAATCTGTCTGATGATGAGATTCAATGTATCCAATTGAATAGAGAATCCAGAGTATCCAAATGAACATCCTGGTACCGCAGAAAAACCAAAAAAAGAAAAAAAAGAAAAAAAAAAAAAGAACAGGAAATGTTGTGTGCTCCCTAGCTGATTATAGCAGATGGCATCCAATATCAGGATGTCCCACCATAAAGAGATACTTATTTTCTGCTTTGCAGTTTGCAAGTAATCTTTGCAATGATGCTTTGAGCTTAAGACCCCTTTCCCCACTAACCTTTCACCCAGAGGTTACAGCATCCATTGATAGTCACTACTTGAATCAACTACAACATTGAGCACTTTTGAGAGCTTTGGCCACGACTTGCACTCACAATTAATAGTCCTTTCCATAGCTCTGGAGTTAGAGAACCTACCTGAAGAAGGTAAGTTCATTGCTAGTATATCATAATGTATTTAACTCTTGTCATGTCTCCCTCTAGCACCATCCAGGGAATCTCTCCATTTTAATTAAGCACTATGACTCATGTTATTACAACTATTCCTACTAAAAAAGGGACATGTTGCACACTGCCCTGAATATTTTGCCTTTTTTTTTTTGTACCAGGAATCGAACTCAGGACCTTGCATTTGCCAGGCGGGTGCTGTGCTGCTGAGCTATCTCCCTGAACTATCTGCCGTGAATATTTTGCCCAAACTGTTCTCTTTAACTTTTAAAATTTTTATTTTAGTGGTACATTTTATATACATATATAGTGATAACATTCATCATAGGGAATCTGTACCTGTACCTTATAGATCTTGCTTTTTTCTCCCTCCCCATTCTCCTCCCCTCCTTTTCACCCCCACCCCCTCTCTCTCTTTTTTTTTTTTTTTTTTGTCTTTTTGGGACAGGGTCTCTATGCAGTTCAGGCTGGTCTCCAGCTTGCAGTGATCCTCTTGCCTCAGCCTCCCGAATGCCGGGATTACAGGCGTGCGTCACCACGCCTGCCACTCCCCTTTTTGAGGCGGGTTTTGCTATGTTGTAGTTCAGGGTTGCCTTGAACTCACCATGTGACCCAGGCTGGCGTCAGACTCATGGTGGTCCTCCTCCCTCAGCCTCCCAAGTGATGGAATTACAGGAGCGCACCATCATGCCTGGCGCCCACCACCAAGCCTGGCGCCCTTGTTAAATTTTGTTAACTGCTGCTGTTTGTGACAGGGTCTCGCTATGTAGTGTAGGCTGGCCTTGAACCGGTTTATGTAGCCCAAACTGGTCTCGAACTCCCAGCGATCCTGCTGTCTCAGCCTCCCAAATCCTGGGTTTATAGCCACTACACCTGGCTGCCCTTGTTAAATTTTGAGACAGGTCTCACTCATTTGCCCAGGCTAGTTTTGAACTTTCGATTCTCCTGCCCCACCCTTGAGAGAAGCTGGGATTACAGGCATGTGCCACCACACCTTTTTCCAGAGGATTAAAATCCTTCCCCAAGGTCACACAGCTGCTTAGAGAATGGAGCCCAGGAAGTGACCCGGATGACTTCGCACTCCCACCTCACCCCCATCTTTAACCACAACTGAGTCCAATCGTCCAGGATTGCTGTCTGGTGCAGTGTTCTTACAGATGCGATCTTACTCTGAGTTTCCTAACTCTCAAAGCGAGAAGAGTCCCGCGGAACAGAATTTGTACGGCTCCGAGAGCGCCAGCGTTTTTCCAAGGTCACATATAGTGAGTGGTAAGAAAGTGTTTGAACCCAGGTTTATCTGGCCTAGAGTGTAGATCTCTGCTGAGGCTAAATACGTAAGAAGCTCCATTGCTGTTTGGTAGGTATGCGGGGACTGTACTCTGAAAACCCAAAAAGCTCCTACACGCTATCGTCCCACACGGCAAATAGCTACGCGTCTTTACCCGCTCAGCTGCTGCTGTTGCCGGGACACGCGCCAGGCAGCCCTCCGCCCCTCCACCTTAAAGCGGCCGTCCAGACTCCGCCCATCGCTGCCCAAGGCCAATCCCTGGGGTGGAGGGCGGGGCTGCCACGCGAGTGGGCGTGGCTAAGGGTAGGCAAGAGTCTGGAGTCGTGCGCCGAAGTCAGAGCTGCGTCTCCCGACCCAAGCGCCGGTTGCCGAAAGACAGAGAGGTAGTGATGCTGCCCCTGCCGCTCCCTGATTGGCTGCGGGTGGCTACTTCTTTGTTCTGATTGGCAGCGAGTGAGCTGGGTATGTAAATGAAGCGGCCTGGGGAGAAAAGGGGTACCGGCGGTTGGGTTCTTGTCGTGTTCTATCCCTGGGTCAGGCGGAGCAGCGCCTGGGCTACCCGGAATCGAGACGCTCCGGGCCTCTGCTTGCCGCCCGCCCCGGACGGGCTGGGTGAATCACGCCGCAGCCCGAGAAGGGGGCGGAGGCGCCTGCTCCTTGGCTCCGGCTGCGTGACTCACCCGCCCCCGCCCCCGCCGCCGCCGCTGCCTTCCGGAAGCGGGAGAAGGCCGGAGCGCAGAGCCGCCCGCTGGGGTCCCGGCTTGCGCCGCTCCGGACGGGAGCAGGAAGCATGGGCCGGCGCGGGGCAGTGTAGAGGACCCGGGGGTCAGGGGCTGGGATCCGCGGGTGAAAGCGGGCCGGGTCTCCGCTAGGGGGCGCCGGGGCGCGGGGGGCGGAGTCGGGGTGGGGGCTGAATTCCTGCGGTTCGGGACTCCGGGTCTTCGATAAGGGCACAGACCCAGTTTTGAGTAGTGCGGAGGCTGCTCCTACGGTCTTGCTAGGCAGGGTCCGGGGGACTGGGCCTGCGGCCCTCCTGGTCCCCCCAAAAGTAGGTTCGGCCCAGGGCTGCAAAGCCCCGGGCCCTCCCCGCCCGGGGAACAGTGTGGATCCTCAGACTTCTCACGGGGACTGACCCTGGTGGCCATCAGGGTCCCCGGCAAGCATTGACCACTCCGTCTCCCGCATGAGTTCTCAACCGGCTTCCTCCCATGTCCAGCGCCAGCCTCTGCTCGGGCCATCGGCGTCGGGCGTCCCAGGAGGAGAGCAGCCTCCCTCTGGGTCTCAGCCCGCACCCCGCCTCCACTGCGGCCCCCTGCCCCGCCGCCGGGCTTCCCCGGCTGGAAACCTAATCAGCTCACACCGCCGCTCCCCTCCCTGTTCGGACTCCTCAGTGCCTCCCTGCCGCTCTGAAAACCCAAACTCCCTACCTCTCTGCCTCTGCAACCTTCTGCCTGCGCCCCACCCCCACCGGGACTCCCGGCGTGTAACTGGGCACGAGCCACACTGGGCCTTCTCAATTCGGGCTTTAAATCTTTCCTTTTTTTTTTTTTTTTTTTTTCTTTTTGAGGCAGGGTCTTACTATGTAGTTCCGGCTATCCCCGAACTCACTATGTACCCCAGGGGGACCTCTGGTGAGCCTCCTGCCTCGCCGCCCACCTCTAGGTCTTTCTTTGCCCCCCCCTTTTTTTTCCTGGAGTGCTCGCCCCCTGGTTCTTCATGGCTGACACCTTCTCACATACCAGGGCTCAGGGGTCCAGTGTCACCTTTGAGGAGCCCACCCTCATCATCTCCAGAGTCCTTTGGTACCTTTCCATCACTGCATAGTTCCTGTGTATTTTCTATCTGAAACAGCTGCTTTTGTAAATTAAAAGGAAAAGCGTTGAATGTTGGCCTTGAACTCACTATGTAGCCCAGGCTAGCCTTAAACTTGCTTCCATCCCTCCTGCCTCAGCCTTCCGAGTACTGGGATTACAGGCATACACCACCATACCAGGCAATAATTTTTTCTTTCTTTCTTTTTTGTCTTTTTGAGACAGGGTCTCTACGCAGTTCAGGCTGGCCTGGAATTCACTTTGTAGCCCAGGCTGGTCTCAACTCGCAGTGATCTTCCTGCCTCAGCCTCCCAAGTGCTGGTATTACAGGCGTGCACCACTATGCCTGGCTTAATGATATTATCGAGAGTACTTGTGCCATGATGTGGTGGGCATAAACCTACATCTGTAATCCCAGCACTCCAGGAGGCTAAAGCAGAAGGATTTCCATCAGTTTGAGGTGAGTCTGAACTACATAGTGAGACCCTATTTCAAGCCAAAAAAAAAACAAGTACTTACTAATAAGAGTAGCATGTACCGGATACTGTAGTGCTTTTTATCACATTTAGTACTTTAAACAATTTATAAGGAAGATACCATCATCCATATCTTAGAAAATTTAGGCTCGGAGAAGTAAATGACTTGCCCAGTATTATATGGACAGCAGTTTATCAAGGCCAGGGTGTGAACTGAATGTTTGCTCTCCATAAACGTGTGGCTCCTCCCTTTCTACAGATGATGCTGAGTAAGGGCCTCAAACGCAAGCGGGAGGAGGAGGAGGAGGAAACTCTGGGAGTCGACGCCTGGTGGCTGGATCCTGGCCACCCCGCAGTGACCCAAGCGCCCCCCACCGTAGCCTCCAGCTCCCTCTTTGACCTCTCTGTGCTCAAGCTCCACCATAGCCTGCGGCAGAGCGAGCCGGACCTGCGGCATCTGGTGCTGGTGGTGAACACACTGCGGCGCATCCAGGCCTCCATGGCACCCACGGTGACCCTGCCACCTGCGCCCAGCCCACCTGTAGTGCCCAGTGTGACTGATAACCTGCTGGCCAGCTCCGATGCCATGCTCTCCGCCTCCATGGCCAGCCTCCTAGAGGACCTCAGCCATATCGAGGGCCTGAGCCAGGCTCCCCAACCCCTGGCAGATGAAGGTCCACCAGGCCGCCCTGTTGGGGGGGCCCCACCCAGCCTGGGTGCTTTGGACCTCCTCGGCCCAGCCACCGGCTGTCTGCTGGACGATGGGCTGGAGGGCCTGTTTGAGGACATTGACACTTCCATGTATGACAGTGAGCTTTGGGTACCAGCCTCTGAGGGCCTCAAGCCTGGCCCTGAGGATGGGCCGGACAAGGAGGGAGCTCCCGATTTGGATGAGGCTGAGCTGGACTACCTCATGGACGTGCTGGTGGGCACGCAGGCGCTAGAGCGGCCACCAGGGCCGGGGCGCTGAGCCCAAGGGGTGGGATGGTTGTCTGGCATCTGAACTCAGCCTGGGGGCTGGTCCAGGGGCTGCCTTCGCCCAGAGACAAGGGGCTTGGCCACTTTGGAGAGACAGAGTCCACTCCTGGGCAACTTCGCAGCTGTCCTCTTGTGGAGGGGTTGTGGAGGAGTGTGGGATTGCCCCCTAGTGATGGGATGACAGGGCCTGGTGGCTGGAATAAGGCCCCATGCTGGACTGAACCCTCCGGGTCACAGTGTGGGCTGTTCCCTTCCTGATCTGGGAAGAGACCTCCATCTGTTTTTTGAGATTAAAACAAACTCTGGAAAATCTCCTGTGTGTGCTTCTTTGTCTCTGGGCTAATGTGAGGGTGAGCTACAGTCTAACACTTAGCCTGGGCATGGCAGGCAGTCTTCTAAGCACTTGCCATGTGTTAATCCTGTAACAACCCCACAAAGACAGGGAGGAGGATGATCCCCACTTTACAGCTGAGAACAGACTTAGAGGAGGAGGGGTGTTCAGCTCGTGGCCCACGGGTATCCTGTGGACAGGGGAAGGGAGCTTCCAGAATGGCCCAGAAATGAAAACCGAGCTGGAGGCCAGACAGTTTCTGCAGGGAGCACCGGGTCAGCACTCCTGGAATAGGGTCAAAGGGAGAGACACCCGCCAGTTTTTAAAAATAAAATCCACTCTCTGGCTTCATATCTGTCTTGGGGCAAAGAATAGGGCTGCTTAGAGACCATCTCCAAAATAAAGCCTGCGGGTTTGGTGGAGCTACGACGGCCTTCAAGGGCAGGCGGCTGACTATCCTTCTAGAACAAACCCAGGTCCCGGCAAGCCGGGGCCACCTGCCCGACGGCCCGTGTGATAGGCCTGGCCGGAGCCCGGGGCCTGCGTCCGCCCCCGCCGTCCAGCCGCATTCCTGGCCGGCTGGGCGGGGCGCGACACTCACAGGCCTGGCACGGGACCGGGCTGCGTCCTTCCTGGCGGCTGTGGGGGTAGGGCACAGCCCGGGTGCCGGGCTGGGGGTGCAGTGTCCCCGCGGAGGTGGCGGGTGGGGGCTGGAGGAGCGGAGGGCTGCACGGCCCGAGGGGCGCCGAGGCATTGCAGCCTCCCCGGGGCAGGAAGCCCAGGAGCCGCGGCCGGCCGGGGCGGGGGGCGGGGAGCCCGGCGCGGCGCCCGGGCCGGGAAGGGGTGGGCAGAGCGAGCTTCCTGGAGCCGCGGAGGAAGTGGTGCCCATTTCTGGAAGTGGCTGAGGACGACGGGGCGGCGGGTAGAAAAGCCCGCAGGGAGCTGGTGCCCAGGCTGAGAGCCTCCTAGGCGCCGGATGCCAACTCCTGGCGACTCCCATCCATGGACTTCGGGACCCGGGCTTCTGAGTCGGGGACCGAAACCTCCGGAGCCTGGGCGGGGGGTCAGCAGCGCCCCCTGGTGCCAAATGTGGGGTTCTGATGCCTCCGTCTGGCATCTGTCCTGCGGGCAAGGGTCAGCGGTCATCCGTTACCGAGTGTTTGGCCCCTGGAGTAATCTGTAGATGTGAACATCTGCTGTGAATGTGACCTGGTCAGATGTAACCTTTCACCTAGAGTCAGGCACAGAAAGGTACTCAAATTTTCGCTGAACGAGGGAAGGAAAAAGAGGGAGCGGGCTTTGAGGTTGGCACACGCCTGTAATAGCAGCACTGAGGCAAGAGGCTGAGGCAGGAGAATCGCAAGTTCGAGCCCAGTTTGGACAATGTAGCAATTTGGGAAGCTACTGTCTAAAAACTTAAAAAAAAAGGCTGGGGCAGTAGCCTAGGTTCACGGCCCAAGTACCACCTAAATAAATAAATAAAGAGACAGGGAGGTAAAGGTAGCTGAGGGCAGCGGGTCACAGCTCTTCCAGGGGTCAGAGAAGAGAAGAGTGTGTTGCTGGTGGGGGTCCTGTGAGTGCTGGTGGTGGGGAGCTGGCCCTGGGTGTCACAGCTTGAAGACACAAAGGCTCTGTGAGCTTCTGGAGCCGCAGAGCCTGGCCTGGTGGATCAGCTCGGAATAGTGTGGGCCCTGGAATCTGCTGGCTGAGGGGGCGTGGCCTCCTGGGGTGGAGCTGAGGCCAGAGTCTGCACAACCATGGGGGTTGTGGAGACTCGGTTCTTCCGCACCAGCAGATTGTGAGCCAGGGCCGGTGTAGCCCATGTGGTACGTTTGTACAAAACACATGCCCCCCCCCATACTTGACCTCCACTTGCAGGGAAAGTGTCACATCCACACGCAAATGCATGGCATCTGGGACAGGCCTCTTCACTATGGAGCCTGTGTCAAGTGTACAGCCTGTACAACTAACTGTACCTAACTGGGGGGAGGGAGGCCTCAGGGAAAGTATGTTGCAGAAATACAGTGATGCTCAGAGATGCTGTTGAAGCGCTGTGCTGTTATGCTCAAATGAAAAGAATTTGAGGGCTGGGGATATAGCTCAGTGGCACAGGTTCCTGCTTCACAAGCGCAAGGTCCTGAGTTCAATTCCTGGTACAAAAAAAAAAAAAAAAAAAAAAAGACTTTGAAGGCCAGACTGCCTGGGTTTGTATCCCAGCTTTAGCACTCTAGGGCTATGTGACTCTAGGCAAGGTGCTTAACTTCTCTGCACCTCAGAGTTCTTATCTGTAAACTGCATCAGTAGCAGTGTTCACTTTGAAGGGCTGTTGCTCTAGGAAAGCGGAAGGGAACCTGCATGGACAAGAGGCCTGCAACGTTTTCAGCGGTCCCTAGGCTGCTGGGTTTGGTTGGTATGAGGGGGCCGCAGTAAGGTAATGGTCCTGGAGGGGTCGATAGGGGTTCAGGGCATACAAGGCCCTGAATGGGGTCTTCACAGCGAAGATGCTAGGGAGCTGCGAGGTTAGGGGATCCCTCCAGCTGCCATGGGGGAGAGCGAGCCCAGGAGCCCAGGGGTGGGGAGCTGGGAAGAGAAGAGTAGGGAAGGGACACTGAGGAGGTCCCTGGTACAGGGCAAGCGAAGAAAAGTGGCCATGGGGCCGGGGACATAGCTCAGCGGCACAAGTGCTTGCCTGGCAAGTGCAAGGTTCTGAGTTCGATTCCTGGTACAAAAAAAAAAAAAAAAAATTTTTTTTAAAAAAGGGAAAGTGCCCGAGGATGGCAGGTTGCAGCTGCATTGGGTATCAAACCTCCCTCCCCACAAGGGCCCTGGAGGACCCTGCATGGGACAGCCACCTGGGGAGCAAGGGTGGCACCACCCTATGAGCCAGGGTGGAGCAGGGTCTAGGAGGAGGCTGGGCTTGAACCAGGGGCAGAGGACAGTGTGGCCAGCCCTGGGGTGGTGGCCGGGGGAAGCAGCAGGTCTGGGGAAGGACACCGTGGGTACGAGGGACTTGCAGAGGGGACGCCTCAGGGGGCAGGACTGGGCCAGAGGCTGTGGGCCTGTTTCCCTGGGCTCCGCAGTAGCCCAGGGCCGGGAGAAGCTGCTGTGGGCCCAGGCCAGGTCTGGAGAGGGTGGGCCGGGGGTGCTTCCGCCTCCCTCCTCAGCCCCGCAGGATGTCCTGTGTTTACTGAGGTGGCCTTGGCCGGAACCAGGACACTGTGCCACCTCCGAACTCAACTTCCTGCGGCCACACCCCCTTGGGTGAGGGAAAACAAGGCAGAGAGAGAGAGGAGAGAGCAAAACAGGACGGGACAGAGATGAAGAGCAAGGACAGAGAGAACTCGAGGCATGCCAGTCACGATAAACAAGCAAACAACAAAACTCCGAGCAAACCGGCAGAGAGAGCGCCCCTAACATGATTAACGGCATCTGCAAGAACACATACAGCTAGCATTTTTTATTTTATTTGTTTATTTATTTATTTTTGAGACAGTCTTTTTCTTTTCTTTCTTCCTTTCTTTCCCTTGGCTGTAGAGACACAGTGTCTTTATGTCACCCAAGCCAGCATCGAGCACCCGGGCTCAAGCGGTCCTCTTGCCTTACCTTCCTGAGTTGCTGGAATGATGGACCAGCACCACCTTGCTGGGCTTTAGCATCTTTTTTTTTTCCTGGAGACAGGGTCTTGCTATACAGCCCAGGTTGGCCTTGAACTCTCTGCAATCCTCCTGCCTCAGCCTCCGCAGTGTTAGGATTACAGCCACCATACCTGACTAGCGTCTTATTTATGGCAAAACAAAAACAAAACCTGAAAAAACGCTCACTGCCTTTCTTTAAGACTTTGAACCAGCAAGGACCTCTGCTATCTGGGACACAGAAAGGACAGTGAGTCCCAGCCTCCTGTTTCTGTTTGGCCTTGAGCAGAGAGAGCAGATTCTCCTCTCCAGCCTGGCCCAGAGTGCTCCACGCTGTCCCTCCCATAGCTGCCAGGGCCCTCTCAGGACAAAGTCTTAGTCCCTGTCATTGCCCCGCGGACCCTGGACCTCTTCTTGGCTTTCCCACTGCTCTCTCAGCCCCGGCCTCTGCCTGGAACTCATCCCGTCCCCGCACGCGGCTCTGCAGTCTCCTACAGGTCCTTCCCGACAGGAAGTGGAGCTCAGGGGCCCTCCCTGACCTCTCTACCTGGGATTCCCATCATGACCCTCACTGTCCGGCTTTGTCCCTTTGGGGTCCCCTTGCTGGCCTGGAGCCCCCTTCCCTGCCCTTTTCCTTGGCTCCCTCCTCCTCAGCCTTCCGGTCTGACTTTTGACGTCACTTCCCACAGAATCTTTCCTGAGTGCCCCCGGGTGTGGACGTGGGGCTGTTGGTGTCCCTGGTGCCCAGCAAAGGACCTGCTGCCCATCAGGGACTACGACTGGTAAATGAGTAAATGAACCTGTCTGAGCAGATCCATGAACGAGGGAGACCGCCATGAGGTGCGGGACTCAGGCCCATCCCCAGCCCAACCACGGGGCCCTTCCACGCCTCCCAGGAGGACGGTGCTGGCTGGGTTCCGGCCACCCCCGCCCTCGGTGGCTGCCAGCCCTGGGAGGCATTTCCCGGAGCTCAGCACATTCCTGCCTTCCCTGGTGGCTGGGAGTGGGCAGGGGGCATTTTAGAGAGGAACGGGGAGGCCCCCAGCATTCTGGGCTCCTGCTCCTGGACCCCACCCCCCACAGAGCAGGCCCCGACCCCTCCGGGTGGGATGAGTGAAGGCCCCAAGAGGGGCAACCTGGCCGCTGTGAGGGGCTGGTGCGCACCATGGGCCTGGTGTCACCGCCTGGCAGGACAATGGGGCAGAAGCTGCTGACGAGAGCTTCGGGGGTAATCCCCCCGGCCTCACCCCAGCCTCAGCCCCAGGCCCGGCTCAGAGAGCTGCGAGCATCCCAGGCAGCGGCCGGTGGGTGGTAGGGGCATGTGGGGGTACCTGTGCTTCCTGTGCCACCCCTCGGGGTCTGGTGAGTCGGGGCAGGCTTGGGGCTGAGGCTGGGGCCTGTGAGTCAGGGTGAGGCCTGGTGTCCGTGGTTGGGGAGTTGGGCAGGTCTGGGTTTAAACTGGAGCTGCTGCCATTAACCTGCTGTGTGAATTCAGATGAGGCACTCACCCTGTCTGAGATTCCCTGTCTAAAACGGAGGCACAGAAGAGTATAGCAGGGTCTTCAGGGTTCATCAGAACCGGGATGGGTGTCCACTGCACAAAATCCTGATTGCACAGCTGCAATCATTAGCCCCTCTTGATTCAGAGAAGAGGTTTGGGTCCTTAGAATGGTTTTCAGCACAGGCTAGCTGGCCCTCAAATAGCAACTTCACTGAGCAGAGATATGGCCTCCATTCTGCCCAGTATTTCCAAAACTGAATTCAACAGCCCAGGAAGAGGACTGGCCAGACCTCTAATTATTTGTGTGAATAACAGTGCCACAGAATATTTTAAGTAGCACTCACTCTGTGCCAGTGCTGTTTTTAGTTTTGTTTTTGTTTTTGTTTTTTTGAGACAGGGTCTTGCTATGTAGTCCAGGATGGCCTTGAACTCATCATGTAGCCCAGGCTGCTCTCAAACTTGAGGGGATCCTCCTGCCTCAGCCTTCCGAGTGATGAGATTACAGGTGTGCACTGTCACACCTGGCTTTAGCCTACTGTATTTTAACTACTGTGTTCAGTTTAGACATGAAGAATCTGTGACTTGCCAAAGGTGACACAACCAAAAGTGAGGAGAGGGAGCAGAAGGAGTCTGTCATGAACCCTGAGGGCCAGGCCTGCGTCCAGGTGCAGGAAATGGTGGGGGTGGGGTGCTGAGTCCCCAGATTGAGTGGCAGTCTTGGCTCGGGGGCCAGGGACAGGCTGCATCCCGGTCCCCACCCCCTTTCGGATGGCTGTAGCTGGGAGAAGGGGATGTTTGTTTCCCCACCACCCACCCTCTGGTGACATCACAGCAAGGCAGCCAATGGCACGGGTCTCCCCTTCCCACCCTCCCCATTCCTTTTCCCCCCAGCCTGGGGCTGTGGCTGAGCAGACAGACCAGGAGCTCCCGAGGTGTCTGGAGGCTCAGCGGTAAGAGATCAGCAGGCCAGTCCCATCCCAGGCCAGGCTGAGAAGCCTTGGGAATGGGATCCAGGGTCCTGGGAGCTCTGGGGGGTGCCTGGGTCTCAGGAGGCAGGGTGGTATGTGAAAGACACAGGCCTTGGAGCCAGATCATGGGTTCAAATCCCAGCTTCCCCTCTTTCTGACTGAGCATCCCTGGGAAAGATAATTCAACCTTTGTGCCTTGACTTTCCCATCCCTAAAATGGGCTAACAGAGACCACCTCTCAGGGCTGGTATGAAAGTAACTGAGTTGCTGTTTAGGAGGAGCTGGGGCAGGCTTTCTGGCCTCTGGAATAGGGAGCTAGGAAGGAGGTACTGATGTCAGTGGGGAGCTGGTCCCCAAGTGAGTTTTGTCCCTTACCCAAAATTCCCCTTTGTTTTGTTTTGTTTTGTTTTGTTTTTCAAAATTCCCCTCTGGTTGGAAGGAAAGTAGAGGACACCAGGGAACAAAGCCAGCTATGGGGCCATGTGAGATATTTGTATTAACTGAACATTTACTCTAGACTGAGAATATTCTAAGTATTTGCTATTGTCTCACAAATCTCCGAAGCCAGTTTTATTGGCTCCACTTTACAGATGAAGAAACTGAGGGCCCAGAGGGGAAGGACGTGGCCTCAGTGCACACCCCTGGGCAGAGTGGAGAAGCCAAAGGCCACATCTTCAGACCCCCCTCTGTGCCCTACTGTGGCCTCAGATGAGGTCCAGGTCCCCCCACTCCGAGTGGGCAGGATTCCCAAGTGAAGTTGGCGGCAGCCACTGGGGAAAAGGGCAGAAGGGCAAAGCCCGTGGCCGATTCCTTAGCAGCCCCAGCGCAGCTGAGGGCTAGGGCCGAGGTGACCACCCAGGCACGCTGAAGGGCAGGAGTCGTACCCTCCTGGTTGGGGGGGGGGCATTTAATGAGCCAAGACAGAGAGGTATCTGCACATAGAGTCAATGCCTAAGAGATAGAGAGCCTGAGAATTCCGGAAGCTCAGGCTTGTCCTTGGGCCGGTCCTCAGTAACCACTCACGAAATGAGTGATGCCTGGGTGTGGCGGCACATGCCTGTATTCCCAGCACTTGGGGAGGTTGAGGCAGGAGAAGCAGATTTGAGCCCACCTTGGCTCCAAGTTAAAAATTAATTAATGATTTATTTAATTAACTTTTGAGACAGGGTCTCCCTATCTCCCAGTAGTTCAGGCTGGACTTGAATTCACTATGTAGCCCAGGCTGGCCTGGAACTTGAGAGGATCCTCCTGCTTCAGCTTCCTGAGTGCTGAGATTACAGGTGTGTGCCGCCATGCCTGGCTCAAGATCAAAACTAAAGAGGGCTGGAGAAGTATCTCAGGGTGAAGGCCCTGGTTCAATCCCCAGTACAGAAAAGAGAAAGAAGAGCTTCGCTCCAACTCTCCAGGGGACCCCATGGTCTTCCCCTGACACAGCCAGGGACTCCTAGGGAGCTGTCCCCTTCCTCCCTAGTGCAAAGGGTGGGGCTGGGAACAGAGTGCCTGGGGGTAGCTTTCCTTCTGACCCCCCCAAGAGAGGAGGAGCTGGGGCTGTAGTTGAGGGAGGGCACCATTGGGCTAAATATAACTCTCGGGCCGGGCAGCTGTCCCATGCAGGGATAAGGAAGGAGGGCACTCGTGCTCTTGCCCGCCCCGGACTTCCTGAGTTAGGCTCTGGCTGTGACACTCCCTGCCTGAGCTTGGAGCAGGGATTTGGGGCCCGAGGGACCCTCCTCCCTGACATCTACCATGCCCCGCCAGGGCCAGGCTGTCCTGCTGCCCAGCTTGTGTTGTGCCATGGTCCTGGTGAGCGTCCCACACCTGGGTTGGGCTGGGACATCTGTCTTAACTCCTTCAATCATCAGCAAAATGGGGGTCCTATGGGCCCTGGTCGGCAGGGGCTGGCACCTCTGAAGTTGCATTTACAACACCCGCAGCCCCTCTCCCCAATGCAGCTTCGGTCCCAGCTGTTCTGTCCCAGCTGTCCTGCGGCTTGGGCTTCCCAGGACTCAGCACCACCATGTGAATTTAGGTCCAGAGTAAAGGTCAAGGGCACCGGTGGGGTGAGGGGAGTGTTGTTCTGCCTATTCCTGCTTGTATGCCTCCGGACAGGTCACTCCCCCCCTCTGAGCCTCAGGCTCCATCTCTGGACATCCACCACAGCCAGGGTGATTTGGAGGCCTCTGAGTGCCAACGTAAGACTTGGTTCAGCTGGGCGTGGTGGCGCACGCCTGTAATCCCAGCACTCGGGAGGCTGAGGCAGGAGTATCGTTGTGAGTTTGAGACTACCCTGCGCTACAAAGTGAGCTCAAAGCCAGCTTGAACTGCCTGCATAGCGAGACTCTGTCTCAAAAAGACAAAAAAAAAAAAGACTTGGAAATATCCCAAACATGGCAGCCAGGCCGGGAGAGGTCTGTACCCTGCTGGAGGGGCCAGGGGCTCACAGGAGAGGCTGGAGATGCACGCAGTAACTGGGACCCCTGGGATGTCCAGGGAGGAGCCCTCTGGGACACCCCGGGGGTCCAACAGTGGAGTATTTGCAGCTGATGTTGAGGGGGTCCCCATGTCCTCTGTACTGGCCAGTGGTGGGCTATGAAGGGCCATTGTGTGGCTGCGGGTGGGTGGGTGGGCAGGGGCGGAATGTGACCGGGCCCAGCAGACAGGCCATTGTGCGCGGGAATGTGCCGCGTGAGGCCTGACCTTTTCCTGTGCGGCCGGGGTTGGCGGGTTGGCATGCCAGGTGGGGGCCGCGAGGAGAAGCCCAGAGTCAGGGCCCGGACAGGCACCATCTCCATCCTCCCAGAGCAGCCTGGCAGGAGACACCTGCAGCCTGACTGTGCCTCCTTCTCCCTGTGCTTGTGACCTGGGGCAAGTTCTCCCGGCCTCTCTGAGGGGATAAGGTTTGCAGCAGTGAAGTGGAAGGTGACTGTCTTAGCACAAGAACTGGCAAATAATAATCATTCAATAACCATCAGTTAAGCCGGACATGGTGGCGCACCCCTGTAATCCCAGCACTCCAGAGGCTGAGGCAGGAGGATCGCTGTGAGGCCGGCATAGGTTATACAGTGAGTTCAAGGCCAGTCGGAACTGCATAGCAAGACCTTGTCTCAAAAAAAAAAAAAAAAATCAGTTATTAATATTGGTTGTTATTATTATTACTAGCCATATGAGGAGCTGGAGCTTTTTTGCTGGGAGGTAGTACTGCAGACTGAGCCTGGGGCCTTTGAACTGAGCTACATCCTCAGCCTTTTTTTTATTTTGAGGCAGGGTCTCCAAATTGCTGGGCTTCATTTTGCAATCCTCCTGCCTCAGCCTCCCAGAGTGCTGGTATTATAGGCACGTGCCACTGCACCCGGTAAAGGGTTGGAGCTTTGAGACAAATTCAAGTCCTGGCTCTGCCATGACACCCCAGGGAAGTGACTGTCCTTCCCTTAGTTTCAGGTGTCTCCTCTGTAATGGGCTCAATAATAGCCCTGACCTCACAGGGGTATTCTAAGGTCCCCGTGCAATGATGCTGGTGGGGCACTGGGCACAAGGTCAGGACCACAGGATCTTCTTAGTTATAATAGCAGCAAGTACCAGTACAGCAGCTGCCACGGCCTGCAGCTTTATAACTGTTAACTCGTGCGATCCCGGAACCTCACCGGGAGGTGGGTGCATGGCTTCTCCCCACTTTATATCGCTTTCTTGGCACCTAGAATGGGACCTAGGGCCTCCAGCACACTAGGCAAGTGCTCGTCCACTGAGCCACACCCCCAGGCCTATTTTCCCCACACTATAGAGAAAGAAATGGAGGAGCAGGCAGGCGGTGTGGGAGCAGCTGTTGTTACCTCCGAGAGAATTTGGCCCCTGTTTGCCAAAAGTGTTAGCCCAGGGCCCTGCTTTTGGATGCCTAGGAGTCAGTGTGGATTTTTTTACTGTTTGTGGTCTGTATCACCTGAGGTGTCTTTTTAAATTTTTTTCTTTTTTTTTTTTTTTTGTCTTTTTGAGACAGGGTCTCGCTATGCAGGCAGTTCAGGCTAGACTTGAGCTCACTTTGTAGCCCAGGCTGGTCTCGATCTCGCAACAATCCTCCTGCCTCAGCCTCCAGAGTGCTGGGATTACAGGTGTGCGCCACTATGCCTGGCCTTCCTGGGTTGTCTTGTGGACCTTGTTTTTCCTATCTGCACTAGGGGCCAGGCAGAGCCCAGGGAGGGCCAGGCACTTGGGAAGCCACTAGCAGGTGTTAGCTGGTTAACACTGTGTGAATTATACTTCTTAGAGCCCCGGACCCGGGAGGCCCCAGGAGCTGGAGGTGACCTTCAGGTGAGTGCTACCTGGTGCCACATGTGCCTCCCTGCCCATCCCTGGCCAGCCTGGAGCCTCACGCCCTGTCTCTCCCCAGCAGGCAGCAAGACCTCGGCGAACGGGCACAAGCCCGGCAGACAGCTGTGCGGCACCTCGGGCCGGGCTCTTGGTTGGAGAGAGCACCTGTGCCCAGGCAGCGGTGAGAGGGCAGCTGGGGGCACTTTTCTCTTCCTGATGCCCGCCCTGTCCTCCCTGGGGAGGCTGGACGCCACCTCTGAGCCCCTCCTGGCCTCAAGCCTCCATCCCTGACCCCACAGGCTCAGAGGCAGCTGCTCCATGCAGAACTGAAGCTGGTCCTGCAGCAGAAGGGGGAGCGGAAGCAGGAGCCTGGGGCTCAGGAGACTCCCGGCAGAGCCATGGCGGCCAGGAGCCGGAGCGCCGAGGTGAGTACCACGGGCCCTCACAATGGCAGCAAGGAGTTGGCTTCTCTGTGCCTCAGTTTTCCCATCTGTGAACTAGAAATGGTAATTGCGATGGGGGAAAAATTTAAATTAACATAGTAAAGTGCTTAGTACAGTGCATGGCACAGACCGAGACTCAGGCAGCTAATTCACTGGATCATCAGTAGGCGTTACCATGGTGGTATATGCATGTAATCCTAGCACTTGGGAAGCTGAGACAGGAGGGTTGCCAAGTTCAAGACCAGCCCCTCTGATCCCTACTTCTTCAGGGCACAGCCCACTGTTACAGATTCCTAACAGTATGCCCAGGCTACCCAACTTTACAGGGGAGAAATGGGCCCAGAAAGGCAGAGTGCTGCTCCAAGGACACACAGCACTTTGGATTCCTAGACAGATCTCAGGTCTCTTACTTCCTCTTCTGGGAAGCCTCCCTATGAGTCCCACAGTGCACTGCTGGGCTGGGGCCAGTCTGCACCATTTACAGTAAATACCAGGAATGCCACTTCTCCCGGCACATTCACTACCCGCACACTCCACCCGGCTCCCTCAGCCGTGGGTGTTACCCAGGGCTTGGGGTTATACAGCCCACAATAGCGCACAGTCTAACACACATTCAAGGGGGCAGGGGCCAAGTCCCACTCCCCCATTCCTCATGGCTTAAGGGTCCAGTCCTCTGCTAGGAGTTCAGTCCTCAACATCACCCCTTGTTTTGCTATTAACCCCCCTAAACTGGGTGTGGCGGCACATGCTTGTAATTCCAGCTCTCTTGGAGACTAAGGCAGTAGCATCAAAAGTTAAAGCCCAGAGCCGGGCATGGTGGCGCACGCCTGTAATGCCAGCACTCGGGAGGCTGTGGCAGGAGGATTTTTGCAAGACACAAGGTCAGCCTGAACTGCATAGAGAGACTCTGTCTCAAAAAGACAAAAAAAAAAAAAAAAGGTAAAGCCCAGCCTACACATTTCAGTGACTTAGTGAAAGCCTTTCTCAAAAAAAATTAAAAACAAAAATTAAAAAAATTTTGGACGTGGTGGCACATGCCTGTCAATCCTAGCACTCAGGTGTCTGAGGCAGGAAGGTCGCCTCGGGTTCTCCACCACCCTGGGCTACACAGAGAGTTCAAGGCCAGACAGAATTACATATCAAGTCTCTGTCTCAAAAAAACAAAAAAATATTTTTTTAAAACTTTAAACAGGGGCCAGAGGTATAGCTCAGCGGCACAATGCCTGCCTGGCAAGCGCAAGGTCCTGAATTCAATTCCCCGTATCAAAAAAAAAAATTAGAAATTTTTTTTTAAAAAGCCTTTAAACAGAGCTCTCTGGATGTAGCTCAGTGCGAAGGCTCTAGGCCCAATCCCCAGTCAAGAGCGGGTCTCCCGATAACTCCGTCTTACCTTTTGCTTATGGGGCTCCCTAATTTTGAACCCGCCCTGCGGCCTAGGATCCAGCTCCGAACTCCTACTCCCTCCCTCCCCAAGCGGCCGGGCCCCAAGGCGTGGCCCCGCCCCCGGGCTCCCTGGAGCCGCCCCCTCCCAGTCCCGCCCCTCGCGACTGCAGCCTGGCGGAGTGGCGCGCACACCCACCGAGCTGTTTAACCACAACGCGGGCGCTAGAGAGCGAGCCGCCGGCGTGCGTGCTTAAACGGGAAAGGCCGGATGAGTGGCCCGGACGTCCTGCTTGGGTCGCGCCGAGGACCTTGTGTCCTAAGGGACACTTTTTAAGCGCGATGGCGGGCTCTGGGCGAGATCCAGTCCTGGCGCCCCATGGCGACCCCTCGCCAACCTCCGCAGGAGCTGCGGCGCGCAGAGTTGGTGGAGATCATCGTGGAGACGGAGGCGCAGACCGGGGTCACCGGGATCAACGTAGCCGGTGGCGGGAGAGAAGGGATCTTCGTGCGCGAGCTGCGCGAGGACTCCCCTGCAGCCAGGAGCCTCAGCCTGCAAGAAGGTGGGCGGGGCCGGGCGGGGGCGGGGCCGGGCGGCGGGGGTGGAGTTAGCAATGTGCGCGGGTCCGTAAGAAGCCTAAAAGACTTCGGGGGTTGTGGGCGTGACCGACAATCCGGAAGCGAGGTTAAAGGCCGGGGCGGGGCTTTATTGGCTTTGTGCTGATTCAGAGCCTCCTCTGGAGTTTTCATTGTTTGGATTCAAATTAGTACTAACTTTTTTTTTTTTTGTCTTTTTGAGATAGGGTCTCGCTATGCAGTTCAGGCTGATCTTGAGCTCACTTTGTAGTCCAGGCTGGCCTCGAACTCGCAACGATCCTCCTGCCTCTGCCTCCCTAGTGCTGGGATTACAGGCGTGCGCCACCACCCCCGGCCATAGTACTAACTTTCTGTCTGTGGTTTTTCTGTGCCTCAGTTTCTTCACCCTAACCATGGGAATAACTAGTACTGATCTCATGTGGTCGTTATATAGATTAACTGAGTCAGTATCTGACAACAGCGCACAGCTAGGTAGCGCAAGGTAAACGCTGTGTAAGTGCTAGTTCGTGTTTGTGTGTCGGAACAGGAGAAGAGGGGTGAGTGAACAGTTTCGAGGGGTGCAGGAGGAGAGTTTGGTAAGTAACGATGTTTTAGGAAACATGCATGAAGCCAATGTGATTTATTCATGCAACTGCTGTTAAACACCTTGTGTCTCAGACCCTGAAGTGCTTGAATTATAGTAGTGAAGAAAATAGCAGTCCTTGGGTGTACGGAGCTTACAATCTAGTGGCGAGAGACATATTTAAGCAAAATAAGTACAATATCTTTTTTTAAAAAAGTACAATAGCTAGTAAATTAGAAGGCATATGTGCTTCGGGTGCCAGGAGCAAAGCTGCATTGCTGCGTAGGCTGAGGTAGGAAGAGCGGGAAGGGCGAAGGAGGTAAGGGAACAGGCTCCCCGGAGCGCACTGTAGGCGGCGGGAGCAGCCAGTGTAGACCCCCACGAAAAGCAGTGGGTGTGCAGTACAGCGAGCGAGGAAGACAGTAAGTCATGCGGTCAGAGAGGTAGGGGGAAGGGTGAGTTTTGGAGGGCGTCATAGGCCACGGTGAGGAGTTTTTCGGGTTTTATTTTGTGAGGAACAAAATTGGTCATAGGAGCCCAGCGCGTGGTGGCTCATGCCTGTAATCCCAGCATTTGGGAGGCTGAGGCAGGAGGATCGTTGCGAGTTTGAGACCAGCCTGGGCTACAAAGTGAGCTCAAGGCCAGCCTGAGGTGCTCAGCGAGACCTTATCTCAAAAAGACAAAAAAAAAAAAAAAAGAATTGGCGAACTGCTGCATGTTCACAGACTTCAGGGGCAGGCTTGGGAGCTGGGAGATCCGCAAGGGGGCTGCTACTCAGTGTTGGTGAGGAGACGGATTCAGATTCTGGACAGACTCTGAAGGAGGAAAATTCAGGACTGTGCGTGGGGCTCGTAACCTGAAGGTGGAGTTGCTAGTCCTACAAGGGGACTGCTCTGGAGCTGATGCTGGTTTGGAGAAAGAAGTGCAGGTGTCAGCGTGGCTGTCTGGAATGAGAGGCATCTTTTGGATGTGCAGGTGTGAGCTGGGAGGGGCGGCTGATACACTGTCCGCCCTCTGCATCTGTGGGTTCTGCGCTGCAGCATCAGCCAGAACTGAAAGCATTCAGAAAAAAAAAATTTTTTTTTTTTTGGTCTTTTTGAGACAGGGTCTTGCTATGTAGTTCAGGCTGGCCTTGAGCTCACTTTGTATCCCAGGCTGGCCTCGAACTCGCAACGATCCTCCTGCCTCAGCCTCCCGAGTGCTAGGATTACAGGCGTGCGCCACCACGCCCGGCCATACATCTGGAAAAATTCACGTTCCCACCGAACATGTCCATGTTTTCTTGTCCCTAAACAACTGAGCGTAACAACTCTTTACAAAGCCTTCACATGATATTAACTATTATGAGTGACCTGGAGATGATTTAAAGTATACGGGAGGATGTGCCTGGTTATATGCAAATATTAGGCTGTTTTCTACATGGGACTTGAGCACTCACAGGTTGCAGTATCTGGGAGGGCTTCTGGAACCCATACTGAGGAATCCCGAATGAATCTGGAGTGGAGGGAAGGGTGCTGGGCTGAACAAACCCTGGGCAGTTGTCAGTAGATTTGTGATCCTTCAACTATGCAGTCTGGAAGAGCTTCCTGAGAATTCCAAAATGGTGAGTTTCATTAGAAAAAAAGTCCAAGATCAAGCCCGTCCTGGACAATTTTAGAAACTTCGTGAAAGCTTGTCTCAAAATAAAAAATAAAAACTGTTGGGAGCTGGGTTTGGTGGCGTGTGCCTGTGATCTCAGCACATGGGAGGCTGAGGCAGGAAGAAAGCCTGGAGTTTGAGGGCAGCCTGGGTTACATAATAAGTTCAAGGCCAGTCTGAACTGCATACATATAGAGGCCCATTCACAAAACAAAACAAAACAAAGCCGGGCATGGTGGCACACGCCTGTAATCCTAGCAGTGGGGAGGCTGAGGCAGGATACTTGCGAGTTCGAGGCCAGCCTGGGCTACAAAGTGAGCTCAACACCAGCCTGAACTGCATAGTGAGACCCTGTCTCAAAAAGACAAAAGACCAAACCAAACCAAACCAAACACCCCCCAAAGAAAAAAACCAAAAAAGGGTTGGGGACATAGTACAGTGAGAAGGCCCTGGATTCAATTCCCCGTACAAAAAAAAAAAGTTCCAGAGGGCACTGGTGTGGCACACACTGGAAGCCAAATGCAGCAAGTGGGTGAAGTTGGGCAGGTGCTGAGTGGTCCAAGCAGGTAAAGTCTGATGCTTGGCTATTGAATTTAGCTACCCGGGGGTCATTGGTTGGCACCTGAAGAGGAGCAGCGGAGGTGTGAGTATGCGGTGTGGGCAGCAGGGTTGAAAGTGTGATTGAAGGAGTGGAAATTATGCCACTGCATCTTGCCTGCAAGAACAGATAAAATGCGTCAGGAGATGGAGGAGTGCAGTCCCGAAAACCTTTCCAAAGGGAGACTAGCATGTTTGCAATGCGGATAATGCAGAAGAGTAGGGCAGTTGGTGATGCCAGAGAGGGGTGAATTGCCGGAGGATGACCTTGGGAAGGTGGTGCAGGGGTTGAGTGAGCTCATCCCTAGGACCCTGGACCTAAGCCCCACCAGGGAGATACAAAGATGGTGTGAGAGTGTGTAAAGTTAACTTGGGATTCTGTTCTCTCAGTGAAGGAAACAAAGTCACCATTTGAATGGTGGGGGTGGCGTAGGGGAGTGGAAAGGCAATGATATGGCCCAAGTGGAGCGGACTGGTTCTTTTTTGTTTTTGTTTTTGTTTTTTGAGCGGATTGGTTCTGTGGTCCCATGCAGGGAGAGTCTTTGTTCTTTTTTTGTTGCGGGGGGAGAGTTGTTCTTAACCCATGGAACTTTGTGGTCTCAGACCTTTGCTCTGGAGTGGGCGGTGCCTCTGAGCCCGCCCCAAGAAACTGGGCAGGGCCGGGAGATGCCCACGCCCTGCCACCTTCGCCTCACCTGCAGGGGACCAGCTGCTGAGTGCTCGCGTGTTCTTTGAGAACGTCAAGTATGAGGACGCGCTACGCCTGCTGCAATGCGCCGAGCCTTACAAGGTCTCCTTCTGCCTGAAGCGCACGGTGCCCACTGGGGACCTGGCGCTGCGGCCTGGGACCGTGGCTGGCTACGAGATGAAGGGCCCTCGGGCCAAGGTGGCCAAGCTGGTACGCGTGCTGAGCCCGGTCCCGGCCCCGGCCCCGGCCCCGGACTGCCCCAGCGACCCCGTCTCTGCGCCATGAGCCCCCTCCCCAATACATGGGCCAGCCTTGCCCTCTGTCTTGTCACTAACCTGATGCTAATGCCACTGTGTCCCTTGTTCTCCACCCCTAAACTCCCCCCGCCCCAGAAGGGGATCCACCTACCCCAGACCGTGGCCCTCACCCACCTTGGAGAGGCAACCCCACCATCAGATCACTAGGGGTGCTTGGAACCGGGAAGGCCGGGGCCCAGCCTGAGTGCTACTCAGTTACTGCTAAGAACCTAGACAGTCTTTTTTCCCTGCCTGGGCCTCAGTTTCCACATCTCTACAGCGAGAGTGTTGGTGGCATTCCTAGATGAGGACCAGACATTTTGGATCCTGATCCCTACACTCCTGTTGACTCCCCACGGGATTCTGAATGAGGGTCTTTGCCTTCCTGGGGTGAAATGACAGGCAGGGAGAGGGGATGGTGCTTTTTGGACAAGGTCCTCTACCCAGCGCATCCCCAGCCTGATCTGATGCCGTGCAGGGCTCTTCCTGTCCACCCACAGCCTCCCACTATCCCACCGCCTCCTGCCTCTCTCCTCTCTCCCCAGAACATCCAGAGTCTGTCCCCTGTGAAGAAGAAGAAGATGGTGGTGGTGCCCGGGGCCCTGGGGGTCCCTGCAGACCTGGCCCCCATTGACGTCGAGTTCTCCTTTCCCAAGTTCTCCCGTCTGCGTCGGGGCCTCAAAGGCGAGGTGGTCAAGGGTCCCGGCCCAGCTGCCCCCGTCCACGGGCGCTTCCAGCTGCCTCGGTTGCGTGTTCGAGAAGTGGTCGAAGAGGCCCAGGCAGCAAGGCTGGCTGCTGCTGCTCCTCCCCCCAGGAAGGCCAAGGCAGAGCCTGAGGTGGTGGCAGAAGCTCGGTTCACAACCCCTCAGGTGGAGCTGGTTGGGCCCCAACTGCCAGCTGCCGAGGTGGGTGTCCTTCAGGTCTCAGCCCCCAAGGTGGCCCCCTCTGTAGAGCTGGCCAGTGGCTTTGACCTCCATCTGCCAACCTTTGGGTTAGGAGCCCCGGCAGCACCTGCTGCAGAGCCCCCACCCATAGGGATCCAGGTGCCCCAAGTGGAGCTGCCCACCTTACCCTCACTACCCACTCTGCCCACACTGCCTTGCCTGGAGACCCGGGAGGGGGCTGTCGCGGTGACGGTGCCCACCCTGGATGTGGCCGCACCCACTGTGGGGGTGGACCTGGCCTTGCCAGGCAAGGAGATAGAGGCCCCAGCGGAGATGCCTGAGGTGGCCCTGAAGATGCCCCGCCTCAGCTTTCCCCGCTTTGGGGCTCGAGGGAGGGAAGTTGCTGCAGCCAAGGTGACCAAGGGGAGCCCCGAGGCCAGGGCGAAGGGCCCCAGACTTCGAATGCCCACCTTCGGGCTTTCGCTCCTGGAGCCCCGGCCCTCTGCCCCTGAGGCTGTTGCTGAGAGCAAGCTGAAGCTGCCCACCATCAAGATGCCCTCCTTCGGCGGGCGGCAAGCTGGAGGGCGAGGCGGCCGCCAAGGACAGCAAGTTCAAGATGCCCAAGTTCAAGATGCCCTCCTTCGGCATTGGAGCAGTGGGGCCTGAGGTCAGGGTGCCCAAAGGGCCTGAAGTGAAGCTCCCAAAGGCCCCCGAGGTCAAGCTTCCCAAAGTGCCCGAGGGGGCCCTTCCAGATGTGCAGCTCCCAGAGGTGCAGCTCCCAAAAGTGTCGGAGATGAAGCTCCCCAAAGTGCCTGAGATGTCTGTGCCGGAGGTGCGACTGCCAGAGGTGCAGCTCCCCAAAGTCCCAGATGTGAAAGTTCCCGAGGTGAAGCTCCCGAAGGTGCCCGAGATGGCAGTGCCCGACGTGCACCTGCCAGAGGTGCAGCTCCCAAAAGTTCCAGAGATGAAGCTCCCCGAGATGAAACTGCCTGAAATGAAGCTCCCGAAGGTGCCTGAGATGGTTGTGCCCGATGTGCACCTGCCGGAGGTGCAGCTGCCCAAAGCCTCCGAGATGAAGCTCCCGAAGATGCCCGAGATGGCCGTGCCCGAGGTTCGACTGCCTGAGGTGCAGCTGTCCAAAGTCTGCGAGATGAAGCTCCCCAAGGTCCCAGAGATAGCTGTGCCCGAAGTTCGGCTGCCAGAGGTGCAGCTGCCGAAGGTGTCAGAGGTGAAAGTCCCTGATGTGAGACTCCCTGAAATGAAGCTCCCGGACATAAAACTCCCTAAAGTACCCGAGATGGCTGTGCCTGACGTGCACCTTCCGGAGGTGCAGCTACCGAAAGTATCAGAGATTCGGCTGCCGGAAATACAAGCGCCGAAGGTCCCGGATGTGCATCTTCCCAAGGCACCGGAGGTGAAGCTGCTGGCAGCTCCAGAGGCGCAGCTAGAAGCTGCTGGGGCAGAGAAGGCAGAGGGGACAGAATTTGGCTTCAAGATGCCCAAGATGACCATGCCCAAGTTAGGAAGGGTAGGGTCTCCGCCACAAGGCACGCCAGGCGAGGCGGGTGGTGAGGTCTTGGGGAAGTTAGCGACGCTTCCTTGTCTGAAGCCCGTTGCGGGTGGTGAGGCTCGTGTGGGCGCCCCTTCTCTCACTCTGCCCTCTGTGGAGCTGGACCTGCCTGGGGCGCTCGGCCTGGAGGGGCAGGTCCGTGCAGCTGAGGCAGGAAAGGTGGAGCAGCCAGAGGGTGTCAGGGTGGCAACAGGGGTTGGGAAAGAGGCCTTCCGAGTGCCCTCGGTTGAGATCGTTACTCCGCAGCTGCCCACGGTGGAAGGTGAGGAAGGGCAGCTGGAGATGGCGGAGATGAAGGTCAAGCCCTCCTCCAAGTTCTCCCTGCCGAAGTTTGGACTCTCGGGGCCAAAGGTGGCAAAGGCAGAGGCCGAGGGGGCTGGGCGAGCCCCCAAGCTGAAGGTGTCCAAGTTTGCCATCTCACTCCCCAAGGCCCGGGTGGGGACAGAAGCTGAGGCCAAAGGGGCAGGGGAAGCAGGCCTGCTGCCTGCCCTTGATCTGTCCATTCCGCAGCTCAGCCTGGATGCCCATCCGCCCTCGAGCAGAGCAGAGGTGGTGGGGCCTGAAGTTAAGCTCAAGGGGTCCAGGTTTGCTCTGCCCAAGTTTGGGGCCCGAGGCCGGGACACTGAGGCAGAACTAGCACCAGGAGCGGCTGGGTTGGAGGGCAAGGGCTGGAGCTGGGATGGGAAAGTGAGGGTGCCTAAGCTGAAGATGCCCTCTTTTGGGCTGGCCCGAGGGAAGGAGGCAGAAGCCCAGGGTGGGCGTGTCAGCCCTGGAGAAAAGCTAGAGTCCATAGCCGGGCAGCTGAAGATCCCTGAGGTGGAGTTAGTCACCATGGCAGCCCAGGAGGAAGCAGGCGTGGGGGGCACGATGGCCACCAGTGGAGTGCAGCTCTCCAGCAGGCAGGCCACTGAGGGCCATGACAGGGTGCTGAAGGTGCCCCCAGGGGGCATTTCTCTGCCCCAGGTGGAGCTGACCAGCTTTGGGGGGCTAGGCAGCCCGGGGCAGCAGGCTGAGAGCACAGCGGCTTCTGCAGAGGGCACGGCCGGCGTCAGGGTCCAGGTGCCTCAGGTGAGCCTGTCTCTGCCTGGAAGCCAGGCATCCGGTGGTGAGCTGCTGGTGGGCGAAGGTGTCTTCAAGATGCCCACGGTGACCGTGCCCCAACTTGAGCTGGACGTGGGGCTGAGCCAAGAGGTGCGAGCGGGTGAGGCGGCTGCCGGTGAGGGTGGGCTGAGGCTGAAGTTACCCACACTGGGGGCCAGGGCTGGGGCAGAGAGAGCAGAGGACCAGTCCCCTGGGGCCGAGCGCACCTTCCACCTCTCACTGCCCGATGTGGAGCTCTCGCCACCCTCTGTGGGCAGTCACGCTGCCGAGTACCAAGTGGCAGAGGGCGATGGGGAGGGCGCACACAAGCTGAAGGTGCGGCTGCCAAGGTTTGGCTTGGTGCGGGCCAAGGAGGGGGCTGAGGAAGGCGAGAAGGTCAAGAGCCCGAAGCTCAGGCTGCCCCGAGTGGGCTTCGGCCAAAATGAGTCAGTCCCTGGAGAAGGCTCCCCCAGCCCCGAGCAGGAAGAGGAGGAGGAGGAAGGCACTGGGGAAGGGGCCTCGGGTCGCCGAGGCCGTGTTAGGGTCCGCTTGCCCCGTGTGGGCCTGGCAGCCCCCTCTAAGGCCTCTCGGGGACAGGGAGACGAGGCCCCCAAATCTCCTGTTGGGGAGAAGTCACCCAAGTTCCGCTTCCCCAGGGTGTCCCTAAGCCCTAAGGCCCGGAGTGGGGACCAAGAAGAGGGTGGCTTCAGAGTTCGGCTGCCCAGTGTGGGGTTTTCAGAGACAGGGGCTCCAGGCCCTACCAGGATAGAGGGAGGCCAGGCTGCAGCCGTGTGAAGCCCTGGGCAGGTGGAGACTCCTCTCCTGACCCCCTGTCCCCACCCTTGCCCGTTTTGTGTGTGAGATTACGAGCACTAACCCTCAGAGGGCTGGGAGGCGGGCGGCTGGCCTTTCTCATCGGCAGGAGTGTCTGTATCATGCCAAGCCATGTGAATAAATAATCCAGAGGTAGCTGTGTGTCCAGTTGATGCGTGTGTGTTGTGGGGGTGCAGAGAAAGGTGTCCTCGAGGAGGAGGTTCTAGGTGTCACCTGAGCCTGAGCTGGGGGTGGGGGTGACGTGAAGAAGAAACGGGTTCTTGGTCTAAAAAGAGGGCAGGGTGGGTGGTCTTGGGGTAGACCTTGGTGAGAGGGGCCTGTCCTAGCCCTTCAAACTCCCAGGAGTCTTTGAGGAGGATTTGGGGTTCCCCAGCATGGCACAGCAGTGGATCCCTCTCCTGCAAAGTCTGCTAGACCCACTCTCCCTGGGAAGATTGCTCCCCCAACCCCAGCCTCTGCCAGGGCTCCTGTGTATCCCTGCCTTACCTTTCCTGTCTGGCTGGTTCCACAGCTCCATCCATCCTGGGCCCCACCCAGGAAGGCCCTTCCTGCTTCCTTCCTCAGAGTCATAGGTCAGGAACTCTAGGCTGCCTCCTAGGACTCTGTGCCAGGGGCCTCAACACCTGTCAATGTTGGGCCTCCGCTCCTGGGGATCACAGGTCATCTCCCCTCATGCCTAAGACCCTGCCAAGGCTTCTGCATTCCCCCGTGTCTCTCTGAGACACGAGAAGATGCCCTGCCCATCACACGTGATGGCGCTTGCCTGTAATCCCAGCACTTGGGGGGCTGAAGCGGGAGGATCACCATGAGTTCAAGGCTAGCCTGGGCTACATAGTGAGACACTGTCTCAAAACAAAACAAAACAAAACAAAACAAAACAAAACAAGGATACCCTGTTCAAGGACCACCTTTCAGAAAAGGGCCTTCCCAAGGGAGAGAAGAACCTGGGTGCTGAGGGGACAAGGAGCCTGGATTGCCCACAGCTCACTGAGGAGTCCCCCTTGCCCCTCTCCCTGGAGTGTATATAACGGGAGAGGGTGTGTGGGGAAGGGTTGTGGGGCTGCAGCCTCAGTTCCCCTCCTGTGCTTTTCTCCGATTCCCTATCTCTGGGGCTATTTGGGGTTTTTTTTGTTTTGTTTTGTTTTGTTTTTGTCTTTTTTGAGACAGGGTCTTGCTATGCAGTTGAAGCTGGCCTTGAGCTCACTTTGTAGCCCAGGCTGGCTTGGAACTCACAGCGATCCTTCTGCCTCAGCCTCCCGAGTGCTGGGAATTACAGGCCCGTGCCACCATGCTTGGCTTTTTTTTTCTCCCGGCTTTTTGTTAAAAAAGAAATTTTTTTAAAAAGATACCCTGTCCACTTCCATCTTCCTGCAGTGCCCCACTTGGACTAGGGCCCGTTCACTCTCTCCACGTCTGCCCCTGCTGTCTCAGGGATGAGAGCACAAATCCCCTCGACTCCAGCTGGCCCCCTACTCGGTCACGGCCCCACCCAACACCCTTTCTGGTTCCCCACCACACAGGCAGGATTTGTCTACACTCGCGGCGCCCACCCCAGCCGGCCCAGCATGTGCTGCTTCCTGTACGCTTTTTGGCCCCTCAGCACCTGCAGGGCCTCTGTGGCTCAGCCTGTGGTTTTCTCTGTCACCCTTGTCCTCACTTCTCAGAGAAACTCTTGCTCTTCCTGATGCCGGCTCTTCTTTCCCTGCGCCGTGAACCCTCAGGGTTCCTCCCAGGCCCGTGGGCACCCCACACCCTCCTTGGGCTGAGTCACCCGCCCTTTGTGACTTCCAGGCCTCAACTGTGCCAGCAAGTCCCAGAGTCTCCCTGTGGGCCCCTGGCGGGCCAGCGGCCTCTGCAGCCGCTTTGGTTGTCTTCAAGGCACTGGGAGGTGTGGGAGGTGTGGGGATGGGGGTGGCCCCACAGTGGGTTCTGGAGCGAGGCACAAGCTCAAAGCCTGGCCCCGGCACCCAGCTTCTCAACCTTGGGCCTTTTTTTCCCCCCAGCAGTGTTGCGGGTGGAACGCAATGTCGTGCATGCTGAGGAAGCGCTCTAACACCAAGCTGCATTTCCGCCCCTCCCCCCCTTTTTTGGTGATACTAGGGCTGTTTTGTGAACCCAGGGCTTCACGCATGCTAGGCAAAGTGCTGTACCATTGAGCTACAATTCTAGCTGGTCCCAGACCTTTTTATTTATTTACTTATTTATTTTTTGGGGGAGGTACCGGGAATCAAACTCAGGACCTCATATTTGCCAGGAAGGTGCTGTGCCACTGAGCTAAATCCCTGGCCCCTTATTTTTTAGTTTTGAGACAAGATTGCCCAGACTAGCTTCATGCTTACTATCCTCCTGCTTCAGCCTCCCGAGTAGCTGGATTACAGCCATGTGCATGCATTCAGCAATCTTAGGCATTTTATTTTATTTTTAATTAATTTTTTTGTTTGTTTGTTTTTTGGTCTTTTTTGTTTGTTCGTTTGTTTTTCTGGTACTGGGAATCGAACTCACAACCTCGCACTTGCCAGGCAGGTGATGTGCCGCTGAGCTAATCCCCAGCCTGTTTTTTGGTCTTTTTGAGACAGGGTCTCACTATGCAGTTTAGGCTGGCAATGAACTCACTTTGTGGCCCAGGCTCTCTTTGAACTCACGGCAGTCCTCCTGCCTCAGCCTCCCAAGTGCTGGGACTACAGGTGTATGCCACCCTGCCCAGCTATTTATTTTTGAGACAGGGTCTCACTGTGTAGTTCACACTGCCCTTGAACTCACTACGTAGCCCAGGTTGGCCTTGAACTCATGTTGATTCTCCTGCCTCAGCCTGCTAAGTGCTGGGATTATAGGCATGTGCTACCCACCTTGGCTAATTTAGGCATTTAAAAAACTTTGTACCTTGATTTTCCCTTCCATAAAATGCCTACTCCATACATGTTTAAATGTTTTAATATTAATTCCCTAATCTTCCTCAGTATTTTCTCCCCAGAAGGAGACAGCCATGGCTATTGTCTTACATAGCGTCTTGCTTTCCCCAGCGCTGTCAGTCCCATGGGCAGTCCTCCTGGCCTTAAAGTGTCCCATCCCCCACGCTTCCCCAATCTCTGTCACCTAGGCCTTGCCTTGACTTTCTTTTTTCCTTTCGGGCCTCCACTCTTTGCCCCTCCAAATTATCCTTCCTTCATACAGAAGCTCTGACACATCTGACCTGGTCCTTCCCGGCTCTAACCCTTGCTGTGTCTTGAGAAGAAAGTCCAAGCTCCTTGGTTTGCAGTCAGGACCAAAAAGTCTACCCACCACAGCTACCCCACGGCAGCCACAGGCTGGGGCAGGCGTTTCCTAGACACACACACACACACACACACACACACTTGCTCTCCCTCACTTCTGTCTGGAGGTGTGTCCCCATTCCCATACTGTCCGTCTGAGGTCCACTCTCAGCGTCCCTCTCAGCCCACCCTTCCCTTGTCTGCCTCTTCAGGGTTCCACCGCTGGGTGGGGGAGGGGCCCCGCCTGGCACCCCACCCCCCATTCCAGCCGGGGCTAAGGTCTCCAACAACAGAACCAGAGCCACTCAGTGCCCACTGGAACCCATTCAGGGCGGACTGGGGCCCCTCGTCCCAAGCCAGAAGGGCTTTGGGGGAGGGGTGCAGCCCTTGGCAGACTCACCGTGTGGCCAAGGGGGGTGAGAGGCGCCAGGGAGGTAGGGGCTAACCTCGCAGGGAGAGGCGAGAGCGTGGTTCTGTTTCCCCCGCTGGGGGGCTGGCGGCGGAGTGGGAGGCCTTGGCGACGGAGCCTGTGGGCTGAGGGTCGGAGCAGGACGGCATCCGGTGGCAGGGGCGCCATGGCCACCATCCAGTCGGAGACTGACTGCTACGACATCATTGAGGTGCTGGGCAAGGGCACCTTTGGGGAGGTGGCCAAGGGCTGGCGGCGAAGCACCGGCGAGATGGTGGCCATCAAGATCCTGAAGAACGACGCGTACCGCAGCCGCATCATCAAGAACGAGCTGAAGCTGCTGCGCTGCATGCGGGGCCTGGACCCCGAGGAGGCCCACGTCATCCGCTTCCTGGAGTTCTTCCACGACGCCCTCAAGTTCTACCTGGTCTTCGAGCTGCTGGAGCAAAACCTCTTCGAGTTCCAGAAGGAGAACAACTTCGCACCCCTCCCTGCCCGCCACATCCGGACGGTCACCCTGCAGGTGCTCAGGGCCCTGGCGCGGCTCAAGGAGCTGGCCATCATCCACGCCGACCTCAAGCCGGAGAACATCATGCTGGTGGACCAGACCCGCTGCCCCTTCAGGGTGAAGGTGAGGGTGCCGCCCAGGCCCCAGTGCTTTTCCGTCTCCCGCCGTGGGGTCCCCCCACCACGCTGCCGCCCTCCCTGCCCTCTCCCATTGCCCACTCCTGTCCCCCTCAGGCCCCCAGGTCTCCCCGTCCCTCTCCACTTTCAACTCAGCTCCTTGGCTCAGTCCTGGCCTTGCGGGGCTGGCATTCTACAAGGGAGACAGAGTCACAAAGGAGTGAGAGGACACGGGACGGGAAGGGAAGGAGAGAAGACAAAGCCAGAGGAGAAGGTTGTGGGCTGCGGATCAGGGTGGGAGTGACGATGAGTGGAATTTTAGACATGGTGGTCAGGGAGACCTCCCTGAGAAGGTGACACTGGAAGGGAGTCCTGAGGAGGGAGAGAACTGTATAGACATGTGGAGGAAAAGCATCCAGGCAGAAGGAACAGCCAGTACAGAGGCCCCGAGGTAGGGTGTGCCGCAGTGTGTGTGCGCCAGGAACATGCAGGGGAGTCTGTGAGTAAACCTGAAGCCAAGTGAATGAGGTGCAGAGGGGGGAAATGAGATCAAGCCAGTGATGGGGGATGGGTGTGGTGGCACACTCCTGTAATCCCAGCGTTTGGGAGGCTGAGGCAGGAGAATTGCTGTAAGTCTGAGGCCAACCTGAAGTATTTAGCAATAGCGCCCCCGCCCCTCAAAAAAAGAAAAAAGGAGGTGATGGGGTGGGTTTTGCTTTGAGAGGCACAGCAGGGACCTTGGTTTTATTCTGTGGGAGATGGAGCCACGGACAGATGCTGAGTGGAGGAACGACATGGTCTAGCTCAGGTGTTCACAGGATGCCTCGGGCTGTGAGAGGGACGCAGGAGGCATGGGCTGGCCAGGACGGTAGGACACAGAGATGACCGAGTCTAGACACAGGTGGAGCTGTGGGTGGGCTCTGGGTAGATTTTGTTTGTTTGTTTGTTTGTTTGTTTTTCCGGTACCGGGAATCAAACTCATGACCTCGCGCTGACCAGGCAGGCGCTGTGCCGCTGAGCTAAATTCCCAGCCCCCGGGTAGATTTTGGAGCTGGGGACAACAGGACTCGTTGGTAGCCTGATACTAAGTGGGAGGGAGGCAGGGAGGACTTGAGGGGTTCAAGAGCCTGTTGGTCTGAGCAGCTGCAAGTGTGGCCGCAGTAATGTCACTGTCACCTTGTCCATCATTTACAAGAGGCCTCTCTGCACCTGGGCCTGTGCTGGGCACACTGGGCACCTCTGTTCCTCACCCTGCCACCCCCAGCCCTCTGCCACCCCAGCTCTGACCCTTCCGTCTGCTTATGGCTTTTTTTTCTTTTTTTTTTTTTTGGTACTGGGAGTCGAACCCAGGACCTTGCGCTTGCCAGGCGGGTGCTTGTGCCGCTGAGCTATATCCGCGGCCCCATGTCTGCTTATGGCTTTGTCACTGGTGATGGCTCCGGCGTGAAACCCCTTGAGAGCAGGCCTAGGCCTGGGCACCGCCCAGCTCCCAGCTGGACTCAGTGCTCGGTGAATGTATGGGAGACACAGACAGGAAAGGACAGATCCTTCTGCCCTGACACGTGCAAGGACAGAGACCCAGGGGAGGAGGGGCTTCTGCACACCCAGCAGCGGACACACAGCGCAGACTCCTAGCACTTAGCCAGCATTGGCACACAAGTCCTGTTTGTGGATGAACAGGCATTGGCCCAATGCCCAGAGTCACTCAGCCCCTCAGGGTCTGGGTCCCAGCAGGCTGGGCTCAGAATTGAAATTAATAACCATTGTACCACACTGCCTTCTGCAAACAGAAGTCAAGGAGCTAGACTCAGTGCAAAGGCCCTGGGTTAAAACTCTATTACCAAAAAGAAAAAGATAAAGAATGAGTCGATCAAAACCAAACAAACAAAGCCACGTGTGGTAGCGCACACCTGTCATCCCAGCACTTGGGAGGCTGAGGCAGCAGGATTGCCAAAAGTTTGAGGCCAGCCTGGGCTACAGAGTTAGTTCAGGGGCAACCTGAACTACACAGCAAGACCCTGTCTCAGGAAAAAAAAAAAAAAAGAAAATCAAAGAAACTCAAGAGAGGGAAACCAAGGCCTTTACCAAGATAAAGTAAGTCTGGCCAAGCATGGCAGTCACCACCACCACCCAGCCACAGGCATTGTTCTAAACCTGCAGAGACAAAGCATTGAACAGATCAGACAAAATCCCTATGCTACTGGGGAGAAAAGTGATAAAAAGTAAAATATAGCCAGGCGTAGGGACACACACCTGTAATCTCAGCATTCAGGAGGCTGAGGCAGGAGGATCTTTGTGAGTTTGAGGCCAGCCTGGGCTACACAGTGAGTTCAAGGCCAGCTTGAGCTACATAGCAAGACTTTGACTCAAACAAAACAAAAGAAGAAAGAAAATACACAGTGTGTAAAATAATGTTAAGACCTGGGCGTGGTGGCACATGCCACCACTCAGGAGGCTGAAGCAGGAGGATCATTGTGAGTTTAAGGCCAGCCTGGGCTACAAAGTGAGCTCAAGTCCAGCCTGAACTGCATAGGAAGACCCTGTGTCAAAAAGACAAAAAAAAAAAAAAAAAAAAAAAAAGATGTTAAAAGCAATAGTAAGCCAGGGGTACAGCTCAGTTGTGCAAGCACCTGCCTGACAAGCAGAAGGTCCTGAGTTCGATTCCCAGTACCAAAAAAAAAATAAAAAAATAAAAAAAAATAGATTGTTCCAAAAGCAATAGTGAAAATCAGAGCTAGAAAGGGGACAGGAAGGGTAGGGGCTGCTGTTTTTAACAGGACAGCCAGGAAGACCTCACTGAGGTGACAGGTGAGTGAAGAACTAAGGAAGAGATGGAGGAAGCCATGTGGATGCTGGAGGGAGAGTGTTGCAGGCAGAGGGAACAGCCCTGAGCAGGGAAGGTGTAGGTGTGCGAGCAATGGCGCGGAGGCCTGTGTGATGAAAGGAGGGTGTGCGGCTGGGGCACAGGGTGAGCAGATTGTGAATCTGTTAGAAGGCAGAGCCCAGTAGGATGTGTGGCTACACATGGAATCCCAGCACACTGGGAGGCTGAGGCAGGAGGATGGCAAGTGTGAGCTCAGCCTGGCTAATTTGGGAAGACTCTGTTTTGTTATTTCAAAAATAACAAAAAAGGAGCAGGAGATTTAGCTTAGTGCGAAGGCCCTGGGTTCAGTCCCTGGTCCTCAGAAAAAGAAAAAAGAGGGTGGAGCCAAACACGATGAGCTGTTAAGCAAGTTGCTAGGAGACAGAAAGAGAGCGGTCCCAACCCTCAGAGGCACAAGACCTAGTGGAAAAAATCAGACACAGGGAGCCAGACACAGCCCAGGCGCAATGGCTGGAAGACACAGATGGGGACACATACAGGAGGATCAGGAGACGGAGGCCCGCAGGCAGAGCCACATGACAGATACAGAAGCACAGCAGGTGCGAGGGGCCAGAAGGCCCAACTCGGCTGTCCCTGCCCCTCCACTGCCCATCTGCCCTTGTCTCCACCCCGTTACCCCCAGGTGATCGACTTCGGCTCAGCCAGCATTTTTAGCGAGGTGCGCTATGTGAAGGAGCCGTACATACAATCCCGCTTCTACCGGGCCCCCGAGATTCTGCTGGGGCTGCCCTTCTGCGAGAAGGTGGATGTGTGGTCCCTAGGCTGTGTCATGGCCGAGCTGCACCTGGGCTGGCCCCTCTACCCGGGCAACAGCGAGTACGACCAGGTGCGCTACATCTGCGAGACCCAGGGCCTTCCCAAGCCCCACCTGCTGCATGCCGCGCGCAAGGCCCATCACTTCTTCAAGCGGAACCCCCACCCTGACGCCACCAACCCCTGGCAGCTCAAGTCCTCGGCTGACTACCTGGCTGAGACCAAGGTAGGGGGGCGGGCTGGGTGAGAGCAGTCAGGTGGGGGCTGCTACATCAAGAACCATCTGGTTAGACCTTAGGGAGGACTAGAAGCTTGGGGTCGGCTGTGAGCGTTGTCACAGCAAGAAAATTCTGGGTGCGACCAAAGGTGTGACTGGAAACCTGAAGATCAGCTCTGGGGTTGCTGCAGCAAGACACCTCTAGTCAGGACTGCAGGGAGGACCGGAAGTTTGGGGGTCAGAGGTAAAGGGCTGCTGCAGCAGGAGGGATGTGGGTTATAGCACAAGCGTGCCAGTGAGATTAGGGCAGCTTCTCTGCCAGCTTTGGCTCCGGCCTTAGTAACTTGGGCAGCAGCAGGGACTTGAGTCAGACCACAGAGGACATGGGTGTGGGGCTGGACGTGAGTCACGACAGAAAGGGGGATGTGAGTGAGGCCCCGGTGTCTCTAGAAGTTCAGGGCAGCTTATCTGCTACCTCTGTGATTGCAGTCATCAAACCTATGCAGCAAGAGAACCTGGGTTGGACAGCAGTGGGGACCAGAAGTTTGGGGCCATGTGTGGAAACTTTCACAGCAGGAAGGGTCTGGGTGACACCAAGATGGGACTGAACGTTTATGGCAGATCCTCTGATAGCTCCGTGGCTGGGAGTCATCAAACGTGTGTACTAAGAAGGGCCTGGGTTTGACCGTTAGGGGGCCGGGCGGGCTGGGGTAAGGTGCGCAGGCTACAACAGCAACAAGGATCTGCAGTTGACTCCAGGGAAGACCGAAGTTGAAGGGCAGCCGTCTTGCTAGCTCTGGTAGGGGCTGGACCCATGCGCAGAGGCCTGGGGTGAGGCGTGGGGCTTGGAGGTAACAGGAGGACCAAGCAGCACAGCCACGCAGCCCTCCTGCAGCAGCAGGAAAGCTCTGGACTGGACAGGCGAGGGCCAATGTGAGGGATCGGGTGTGACCTGCTAGCAGCCAGCCAGCTCCACGTCGGGTCATAAGCAGAGCCGCAAGTGGGGTTCCTGTGTGGGTCCCGGAGCAGAGGCATGCAGGGCCCCAGGCCTGGACACATCTCCTTCTGGTGGTGCCCACCTGTGTCCCTCTAGGTACGTCCACTGGAGCGCCGAAAGTACACGCTCAAGTCCTTGGACCAGATTGAGACAGTGAACTGCGGCGGGGCTGCGGGGCGGCTGAGCTTCCCAGACCGGGAGGCGCTGGCGGAGCTTGCTGACCTCAAGAGCATGGTGGAGCTGATCAAGCGCATGCTGACGTGGGAGTCGCACGAGCGCATCAGCCCCAGCGCAGCCCTGCGCCACCCCTTCGTGACCATGCAGCAGCTGCGCACCACCCACGAGGGCACCCGCTACTACCAGCTGTCACTGCGGGGCTGCCGCCAGTCACTGCAGGTGGAGGGCAAGCCACCCCTGTCTGCTGCAGCCGGCGCTGAGGACGGGCCACCCTACTACCGTCTGGCTGAGGAAGAGGACGCCACCATGGGCAGGGGTGGCATGGCAAATGGCGGGTCCTTCTTCTGGGATGAGAAGGCACCCGGCATGCAAAGGGCCATCGACCAGCTGGACGATCTGAGCCTTCAGGAGGCCGGGTGTGGGCTGTGGGGTGAGGCCCACGCTGACACGGTTTCCGACATGCTGACCCCACTCAAGGCAGCCACCACTGGCTGCCGGGTCCCCAACTCAGGCCCAGAGCCCATTCTGGCCTTCTATGGCAGCCGCCTGGCAGGCCGCCACAAGACCTGCAAGCTGCCTTCGGGCTCCAAGTCCAACTCCAACTTCAGCAACCTCATCCGGCTGAGCCAGGCCTCGCCAGAGGATGACGGGCCCTGCCGGGGCAGCGGCTGGGAGGAAGGAGAGTGCCAAGGGGCCTCTGCCGAGCCACCTGCCATCCCACAGCGGGAGGGCGACGGGCCCAGCATCAAGGACACGGCCATGGAAGAGGAGGTAAACCGGCTGGGTGGCCGGGTGGGAGGTGTTAGGTCAGGGCCTGCCCAAGAGCTTGCTCTGGGGCGGGGGCGGATAAGCAGGCCTTGCTCCCACACTCCTGCATGTGTGCAGCTGGTACCGGGTCCAGAACACATTAGCCCACATTCAGGAAAAGGAGGAAGGAGGGGTCGGCAAACACTAACCTGCCCTCGCTAGGTGATCAGGCCCAGCACACACGACCTTCAGGACAGCACAAGCCATTCTACCCCGCCTTCACCTGAGCCCTGGGGAAGGTCTCGGCCTGCTCGTTTTAGGAGGACATGCGCCGGGAGACCAGCGTGAGCCTCTAGCTGATGTCCCGCTTCTCCTCCCCACAGAGGTCAGGCCCCGAGCTCTTCAATACCAACTGCTGTCCTGGAGAATGGCTAGGCGAGGCCGACTGGAGCACGCAGGGCATCAGGGGCCTTCGGGCTCAGGGGGTCCCCACCCGCCACCTCCACCCGCACACCACCCCCCGGGCCACCAGCTTTCTGCAGCACGTCGGTGGGCACCACTGATGGTGACCACACCCCTACCCACGACTGGGGGCTGCACCGGTTGGGCTGGCATCCCTTCTCATCCCGAACTGTTCCTCAGGGCTGTTCCCCGAACCCACAGATTATTCTTACACAAAGATAGTTATCCAGAATGCCCCCTTCCCCCAGCGCATGCCCCCAGGAAACAGGAGACCCCTGAGGTCTGGCCCGTGGCCCCCCTGGCCAGGGTCAGCAGGAAGAGGGCTGCACCCGTGGGCCCGAGCTCGCCCTGGTCTTGCTACTTCCGCCTATTTCAATAAAGAACTGTTCAGCAGTCCTGCCTCTTGCCTGGCCTCACTGCCTGAGGCCTGCTCTGACCCAGGGGATGGGCACCAGGCTGGCACCCAGGGCCTGGCTCTGCCATGCTGCACCCAGCTGGCCACTGGCTCAGGCTAGGGGCTGGGCTACGTGACGCTGGGAGGAAGAGGCTGTGCTTGGCGCATAAACCCATCCCCCACATACGCTAAGCACTTGCACATCCACCCCCAGATCATCTGAGTCTGCCAAATGCTGAAGTCTCACTGATCAGTGGTCTTTCCTTAATGTTACAGGCTTGACATGCTCTTGTACATGCCTGGGACATGCTAAGTGTAAATCTACCTGGCACATATAAATGCATGTGCGGCGCACACTCCAGGGTTCGGACATGCTGGCCCACCCCTGGGATATGGCCATGGTCCAATGCATGCTGTTCACCTGGAGCATGCTTAGTGTGTGGCACATGCTACCCCACACTAGCTACACACGTGCTCAGCCGGGGCCAGCCCACATGGTCGCACACCGCATGCTTAGCACACACCAAACTGCACTGGTCACGCGCCAAGAGCTCAGCACCACCCGACACCCCATCCCATACCACTCAGTCAAGCACAGGCTGTACAGACAATTATTTACTTATTATAACCTTGGGCCCTCCTTGCCCTGGAAAGGGGGGTGGGCCAGGAGTCCAGGCCCAGCATGCACCCCCACTTCTTTGGGGGGCTGATCCCTCCCCCAGCTCTGCTTGGTCCCGGGGCCACTGTGTCAGGCCAGTGGGGTGGAGGTAGAGGTGGGAGCGCAGGGGAGAACCTGTAGAGCCACAATGGGAAAGACAGAAGCGAGGGCATGGGGACAGGAACTGGGACCCTATCTGAGTCCATGGGGGCCTCACAGGCCTTGGCCTGTCCACTGGATTGGGCCTCAGAGCATCCGACAGGCATTGCCCACACTGTCAGCAGAGGCATCAAGGTCGTAGCTATACGGAGAGTCCCAGTCCCTCTGGAAAACCGCCTCTAGCTGGCCGCGCAGGCCACCACGCCCATTCTGCGTCACCAGCAGTGAGGTACCTGCCGTCTCAGTGAAGTAGTTGCCGGACCAGTTGGAGGTCCCTAGGGAGGAGGGGACAGAGAATGACGGCCCCATGGGGTTGGCCAGGGTCTGGTGGCTGGACCCTCCCTTTTTTGCCCCTTGGAACTTACCGATGTAGGCAGCACGTTCAGTCACCATGTACTTGTTGTGGTTGACACGGGCATATGGGATCCGGGCCTGAGCCTCATCCGCAGGGACCACAAAGAGTTTCTGCCGGAGACAGAGGGTAGCAAGGAGTGCAAGATGCAGCTGGGGGTGCGACCAGCTCTGCAGGGCTGGGGGCTCCTCAGTAAACGCTGACTGAGGGAAGGACCTTGTCACCCCCACAGCCAACTTGCTCCCCTCTAGCATGGCTCCCGTTCATCCCGGAAGTCTCTTCTTAGATGTCCCCTTTTCCAGAAAGGCTTCCTTGACCCCTCAGGCTAAGACAGGTCTTTCCTTTGTGCCTCCCTGTCCCGTCCCCAATCTCTGCCTGTGCTCCCTGTCCTGACCGCTCCTGATCATGGCAGGGCTCGCTGGGGATCTTGCTGGACGACCCAGGAGCTCCATGCAGGCTTGTCCCCAGCACTGCTTACCACCTGGATGTCGGTATGGGTGTGGTTGTCACGCAGGGCGGCCAGGGAGAGCAGGAAGGCGCGCATGGCCGGCTCAGAGTGTCCCCAGCAGCTGATCAGCAGGCGCACCTTGACACCCCGCTCATAGGCCGCCCGTCGCAGCCCATCGTCGATGGAGGGCCAGAACCTGGGAGGGAGGCGGAGCGGTGTGCAGGAGGAGGGCGGCTGGACCCCCGGCTCTGCCTTCAGGTTTGGGGAGCCACGCCTGGCCCCTGCGTTAACTACTTCTTCTGAGACCGGTCTTACTCAGTTGCCCAGGCAGGTCTCGAGCTTGTGGTCTTCCTGCTTCAGCCTCCCAGGATGCTGGGATCGCAGGCGGGTGCCGCCACACAGTCCTTCCCATTCGTCTGCTGACCCCACACCGCCTTCCTCGGTCATCCCGCCCAGCTGTGCCCCTTCTCACCTCTGATCACAGACCCAGTTCTGCTTTCCCAGCCCCGCACTCCCAGCCCCCTTCCCCAAACCCTTCACCCCGTTTCCGTCCCCTCTCTACCTTCCCAAACCCCACCTTCTGCACCCTCTACTTCAGGTCTCCCGCTTCCCCTTCCCGCCCCAAACCCCAGCATTACCATCCTTTTCTTCGTGACCTCCGGCCTCCCCATCTCCCCCATCATGGTTGCTTCTTCCACCTCAAACACCCAGAGCCGCCCTCCTGTGTCTGTCCCTTGCTTTGGCCTCCTTGGCTACTCTCAGAGCCCTGCCACGCCCTCTGTGTGCAGGGGCTCCGTCTGGGCGCCCCACAGTACCTGCGAGGGTGGGAGAACTCCATGGTGGGCAGGTAGTTCATGACGGCGATGTAGATGAAGCTCCGGGCATTGTCCACCACATTGAGCAGAGCCTTCAGGTCTGGCGTTCGACCACTGGGACAGAGTGGTGGGGGCGAACTCTGGAACGGAAGAAGCAGTTAAGTCCCGTGCCAGGGCCATCGTCCGCCGATGATCTGCGGCTCGCCAAGAGCCAGCCTCCATCCATGACGGGGAAGACAATCACCATGGCCACTTTGCAGGTGAGGATACAGCTTCAGAGAGGGTAAGCGGCTTGCTGAAGGCCACACTGCTAATAAATGGAGCCAGGAATTGATCCCAGGCTAACTTCAGAATTTTTGTTTTATTTTTTTTAGTAATGCATGACAAGGGGGCTGGGAGGCTAAAGCCTCAGAATGGGCAGAGATAAAGACACTAGAGCTAGCCACTATTTACTGGGTGTACACAACAATTGCAGGGATTATCAGATGATTCAGAGGGTGGCAGGTGACTTTATGCTAATGAGGATCATTATGTTGATGACTTGATGACGGTGGGGAGAGACGGCAGGATAAGGAGTTTGTTCTTTTTTTGTGCCTTTTTGAGACAGGGTCCTCACTATGCAGTTCAGACTGGTCTCAAATTTACAAGGGTCCTTCTGCCCCAGCCTCCCCCTCCTCAGTGCTGGGATTACAGGGGTGCACGACCACACCTGGCTATGTGCAAAGCATTTTAAAGCAGAATGTTGGTGTGGAGCACAGATCTGTTTGTTTGTTTATTTTCGAGACAGGGTCTGGCTATGTAGTTCAAGCTGGCCTTGAACTCACTATGTAGCCCAGGCTGGCCTCACTCTAATGGGGATTCTCCTGCATCAGCCTCCCAAATGGTGAGGTCACAGGTGTGCCCAACCACACCTGGCCACTTATTTTGTTATTTTGCAGTTTTAGAGACTGAACTGAGGGCCTTCGCACTGAGCTACATCCTCAGCCCTTTTTAAAGTTTTTTATTTTGAGGTAGGGTCTCCCTAAATTGCTCAGTTTCCCAGGCCGGCTGAAACTTGCTATCTTCCAGCTTTAGCCTCCAAGTGCTGGGATTACCTGGCCTGGCTCCAAGGCAGATCCTAAGCAGTCTAGACAAGTGCTGCCACCTGGCTACTGAGCTCTAGAAATGTGACTGGTGCAACTAAGGAACAGAAGAGTTCACCATATTAGTTTCAATTAATTTACTCAAAAAATTTCTTTTTTTTGTATCAGGGATCGAATTCAGGACCTTGCGCTTACCAGGCAGGTGCTTGTGCCACTGAGCTATATCCCCAGCCTATTTTTGTTTTTTTGAGAGCGGGTCTTGCTATGTTGTGCAGACTGGCCTTGAGCTCCCTATGTAGCACAGGCAGGCCTGGAACTTGCAGCAATCCTCCTGTCTCAGCCTTCCCACCCTACCTGCCCCATGCTGGGATTACAGTGTGTGCCACCATGCCCAGCTAATTTTAATCAATTTAAATGGCAAGAACCGCCTATGGACAACACCAAGGGCTTTGGGCACATGAACTCTGCTTCTGGAAACATTCGGGTATCCATTTGCAGATGGAAATGAGGGCTAGTGAGGGTAAGACACAGCCTAGGCTCCTGACTCACCAGGCAGGGCTAGGCCAGAGCCACAACACATGTATCTATGCTGCGGCAGGGCTGCTGCCCCTACACTCACCGCCAGGTAGGCCAGAGCAGGGGTCCCATTGAGGCAGATCTCCATAGGTGTCTCTTGATTGTAGCGGGTATCGTAAGACCGGGGCCAGGTTGACGGGATGGAGCTGCCCGCTTGGCCCAGGTACCAGTAGGCCTCGAAGATCTTGGTGAGGTCCCGAGCCAGGCAGCTGCAGTTGTACATGACCACACCCAGCTCCTTGACCTGCAGGAGGGCAGCGCTAAGTCTGGTGCCCACAGGCAACAGCGACACTGCCAGCTCAGTCTCTTTATCCCTTGGTCTATGCCCCTGTGTCCCTTAGTCCTTCCTCCATCCCCACTCTGAAGAGCTAGAGTCCTAGAACTTTCAACTGAAGTTCATAGGTATGCTAGGTGAGTGCCCTACCACTAAGCTACATCCCCAGGCCTTTTATAATTTTATTTGAAAACAGAGTCTTATTAAAGTTATCCAGTCTGGCCTTGAACTTTTGAACTCTCCTCCCTCAGGTTCTTGAATAGCTGGGATTATAGGTGTGGGCCACTGTGCCAGACTCCTGTTCCTTCTTTTTATGTTTATTTTTTTTCTTTTTTCTTTCTTTTTGAATTTTTGAGGCAGGGTCTCGCTATGCAGTTCAGGCTGTCCTTGAACTCACTTTGTAGCTCAGGCTGGTCTCGAACTCGTGACGATCTTCCTGCCTCAGCCTCCCAGGTTCTGGGATTACAGACGTGCACCACCACACCCAGCCTGTTTTTGTTTTTTCTTGAGACAGAGTCTTGCTATGTAGTGCAGGTTGGCCTTGAACTCACTTATGTATCCCAGGCTGGCCTCCAACTCCTGGTGATCATCCTGTCTCAGCCTCCCAAGTGTTAGGATTATAGGTGTGTGTTACC